GGTGCGAGTCAAGCCATCCCCGAATGGTTGTTGTTTGTGGCATTGTGTGAATCCCACATTGTTCATTTTGATAGTACCTATCCTATTAACAAATACATAAAAAATACTAATCTCCGGTAGCTATTGCTTAAACCCCAACGTAGTGATTAACCCATGGTAGGAGCATTCTTGATATTTTTATAACTATCCGTTCAAATCCCAGTTCAGCATTGTTCAAAACCCCTGTGGGTTGATGCTTGTAGAGGGTTATACACTGGTACTATCCAACATGTTAAGGATTAATATTGCTATCCGAAAGTTATTAATCAACATTGATATAGGATCATGAATATACCCGTGTCAAGAATGATCCATAGAGGGATTATCATATGTAGGTTTCCTGAAATGGGGGTACCCCCAGTCATTATCCATTTTATTTTGGGATTTTCCATGAAATAAACGCTCTATTTTGGAGTACCCCCCCATTTCAGGAAACCTCCATATGTAACTAATAACTAACATAGCCATTGAAAATTGCCATTTACACTTGATTTACCCATTAAAAATTAAGATTTTCCATAGTTCCCCAGACAGTGTGGCCACACTGAAAGGTTCTTACAGTCACAGTTAAGGCCCAGTGTTCAATCGAGGTGGTATCGGGGGCGTCTGGCATTTTCTCTGTAAATCTCCGCACAAAATGCCTCTTGTGACATGTCCATGTGCATTTCGACTGCGCAGGCTCGCGCAAAATGCTGGCCGCGGGATTTTGCGTCCAGCATTTTCCCTGTAATTTTCCGCACAAAATGCCTCTTCTGACATGTCCATGTGCATTTCGACTGCGCATGCTCGGGCAAAATGCTGGCCGCGGGATTAGCGTCCGGCATTTTCCCTGTAAATTTCCGCACAAAATGCCTCTTGTGACATGTCCATGTGCATTTCGACTGCGCAGGCTCGCGCAAAATGCTGGCCGCGCGATGAGCGTCCGGCATTTTCCCTGTAATTTTCCGCACAAAATGCCTCTTCTGACATGTCCATGTGCATTTCGTCTGCGCACAAAATGCTGGCCGCGGAGGTGGTGTCCTCGGCCATTTTCCATGTCTCTTGTGACGTGCCCATGCATTTTCGACTGTGCAGGCTCGCGCATCCACCACAGCATCAGCATTATTATCATCATCATCATCATCATCATCAGCATCATCATCAACAGCAACATCACCATCACCATCATCATCATCATCACCACCATCATCATCATCACCATCATCATCATCGTCATCATCATCATCATCATCATTATCATCATCATCATCATCATCATCACCATCATCACCATCATCAACATCATCTTCACCATCATCAACATCAACATCACCATCATCAACATTATAATTTTAATACATTTTCCTTTGACTTCCCCCACACTGTTTGGGGTCTCTTGCCGTTTTTTGGTATTGGAAACCCTATGAATCCACTGTTCGATGCCCTAGAATCTTAGAACGACAAATGCTCCGCTGAACGCTGGCGGAGGTGGTCGATGCCGAAGTGGACCGCGAGAGGGGTCGTATCAACATCGTGATGGAGGTGAAACAAAACGGGGGACCGTTTGCCGTCAGTAAAACCGTTGGATTTAAGGAGCAAAAACAGGGGGACATTGAATTCAAAGCGAGAATATCTGGGATTGAATAATGAGAAAAATGGAAGTTCATCTTCGAAGATGGTTTCTGAACTGGTGAACCGCAGTGTTTTTTTGTCTCGGCCACTTTGGCAGAAAAAAAATAGGTGTCTTACCAAAAATCAGCTTATCTACGTCTACAACATGTTGTGGAAATGGATCAAGCCACCTCATGGTTGATGCGATTTTTGTGGCTAGCCCCCAAGGATTGCAGATGAAAAGGCCCCCCAGACAGTCAAGTTGGTCTGGGTATCGTTTACGATTGGGCAGACCACAGGCTTTTGGGGTGTGCTATTTGGTTGATCGTCAGTCAGTTTAGTCATTATCCATTGTGGAGAATCATTGTCAACCAACCAGCAGAAGTGGATGGCAAAGGTTCTTGATTTGCTTGTACATTGGTATTGTCATTCAACCACACGGTTGATGGCCCAACTGTATAGAGGACTTATCTCACAACCATGGGGATTTCGGAACTAGCATGAGGACGTTTTGTTGGAGATACACTAATACACTGCAAGATAAGAATCATTCCAACCTCCCTCTTTGGGTATCTTTGGATGGTGGTTTTCCCGCGAGAAAAACCGCCTTGTTTCCGTTCCACCTCCTTGTTGAATTGTTTTGGGGTCTCCGGTCTCCCAAGCCAGTCAAGCGAGCCACCAAACGACCATGGTGAGTAGGGACGGTCCCTGAGAGTGCTGTTGAAATGATTATGATAACAAGCCGGTACTTTCTAGCCTCAGGGTCAGCATGGGTCAGCCATTCTTCCAATGTCTTCAGAGTCCTCCCACTCTGCCAGCATGGAGATTTTTCGGTATCCATCATCCTGAGATGATGTGGGCGAACCCACCCATGTAATCCTGTCATGATTGGATCTATTTACGACTTGTATATGGCCTATTATATATACACAGTACATGTATGTAATGTAATGTAATGTAATGTAGTGTAATGTAGTGTAATGTAATGTAGTGTAATGTAATGGTATGTAATGTAATGGTATATAATGTAATGGCATGTAATGTAATGGCATGTAATGTAATGGTATGTAATGTAATGGCATGTAATGTAATGGCATGTAATGTAACGGTATGTAATGTAATGGTATGTAATGTAATGGTATGTAATGTAATGGTATGTAATGTAATGGTATGTAATGTAATTGTATGTAATGTAATGGTATTTAATGTAATTGTATGTATTGTATTGTATTGTACTGTATTGTATTGTATTATATTGTATTGTATTGTATTGTATTGTATTGTAATGTAATGTAATGTAATGTAATGTATGTATGTAATGTAACGGTATGTAATGTAATGTATGTAATGTAATGTAATGTATGTAATGTAATGTAATGTAATGTAACGTAATGTAATGTAATGTAATGTATGTAATGTAATGTAATGTAACGTAATGTAATGTAATGTAATGTATGTATGTAATGCAATGTAATGCAATGTAATGCAATGTAATGTAATGTAATGCAATGTAATGCAATGTAATGCAATGTAATGTAATGTAATGCAATGTAATGCAATGTACTGCAATGTAATGCAATGTAATGCAATGTAATGCAATGTATGTAATGTAATGTAATGTAATGTAATGTAATGTAATGTAATGTAATGAACTTTAATGTAATGTAATGTAGTGTATATATGTATGTTTAATATATTTGTATTATAATTTATTATAGTATATTATATTTTGTTCTATTGTTTTCTATTATATCATATCATATTATATTATATCATATTATATTATATTATATCATATCATATCATATTATGTTATATATTGTACAATCGGTATGTATACACTATGTATATCGTACACAGATCTACAGACATCACCAGCCGACCCCGGTGCCTTTCCGCCAGTGGCTCCCTTCAGGCCGGGGACATGGACCTGGGCCGTTTCTTGCAGTCACAGCCGAGGCATCTGCGGCCGGCTGCGGAGATTTGGAGATTTATATTTTTCTTATTGTTAACGAATATATCATTCTTGCTATGATTAGTGTTTTGATATATAACTATATATTTTTGTAGGGGGGCTATAACATGTCGTAAGATTGAAGCTAGGGTCGAAAAACACTTACTTCTTGGATTGCCCATCGAAACAAGATGCCTTTGGGGTTGGAAACAACAAAACTTCGGTGCAACCAGCCAGATGGAAGTCGCTCGATCAAGTTGTGAGACAAGAGAAGAAAAGGAAAAAACTGAAACAGACGCCTGTAACCACCATCCACCATCAAGTACCCTAACATAGCTGTGGAACACACATAGTTTTCCTAGGAAACTGATCTACAAATGCTGTGGGATTTTCCAAATTAACGGTTGCCCATATGAGCATCGTCAGAAACCTTTGTATACACTCTACGAATCTTTACGAAGAGTTGTGTCATATGTGACTGGGTCGCTCAAGCAAAACCCTGGGTTTCGGAAGATGGACCAAGCCACTTTTGCGAAATAAAGCGCGTAAGCTCCGGCGTAAGCATTATCATGCCTTGCGGCGTAAGCAGTTCCTATGCGGTTTAAGTCAAACCTATCAGCGTAAGCTTCGCGTAAATCATTTTATGTACAAGCTAAGTCAAAATTGTGGTGGCGTAAGCATAGCATAAGGTCTCGAGTAAGCAATGTGATGCGACATAGGCTCGTAATGTCCATATTGGTGGTTTTCCACTGAATTTTGGTACCGTACACCAGCGTCAACAATGTCAGTTTTCGAAAATCCTATTGTTCTAGTTGCCACCTAAGACTGTTTGGCAGGTGATGTACATCCTCCTCCGCATCACCACCACCATCACCATCACCATCACCATCACCATCTCCATCACCATCACTATCACCATCATCATCATCATCATCATCACCATCACCACCACCACCACCACCATCACCATCACCATCACCATCACCATCTCCATCACCATCACTATCACCATCATCATCATCCTCATCATCACCATCACCACCACCACCACCACCACCACCACCACCACCACCACCACCACCACCACCACCACCATCACCATCACCATCACCATCACCATCATCATCATCATCATCATCGTCGTCATCGCCATCGCCATCGTCATCATCATCATCATCATCATCAAAATAATAACCATCATGATAATGATAGTAAAAACAATCGTCATCATGATGATGATCATCATGATGATCATCACAATACTGACAAGAAGCATCAGCATTTATCATTATTTTACATTTCTGCCGCCATGGAGGTTGACGCTGATTCAAATCCAACATCTTTGGAAGCAGATGCTGGAGGCGGTGCAGGTGGGTTGGGTTGGGTGGATGGTACTGGGGGGAACAAAAGAAGCTGCAGAGATTGCCATGAAATTGAAAAATTGGAGAAACCAGCGAAAAAAAAAATATATATAGTTATTTTATTTGCTCTATAAATATTGTTCTATAATTACTGTCGTATGAATATTGTTATTTTTATCGACATGAATTTGATACATCTGATACACGAGAAACATGAAAAACTTGGATCAAGCAATCGAAACAAGGAGTTCTCAAAACAGAAATGTGGAGTACTCACTGAGAAGTTTGGGGTTTATTGCGAAGTGGGAATGGAAGCAATCAAACTGGGTCTTAAGATGGCTGACTCACACAGTCCATTGTCCAGGACGCGTGAATTTCTTAATTTCTTTGTTGGTCCCTGTATTGCATTTTGTTTTGGGCAAGCAACTTATCTTTGGCTCGAAATGATTTTGCATGGGTAATACAGGTGCAAAGACTAATCTTATCTGCTGCTGTAGTTGAGTCAAACACTCAAAACCGGTAGATCTATTCCATTCATGTCTACAAGTCAGGGCAGCACCTTGAACACGGACAACTTGTGATGGGACAACCCATTACATGCCTTACTTACCTGGCAGTTCAAACTGACCACATTGAGCTTGTGACTGACCATGTGAAGGGCTACTGTAAGTGAACTTACAAGCTAGCAATCTAAACTGAGAGAGGCAATTCCACAATTTCTCATGATGTTGCTATTACGACTGGCCAATTGCCAGGTTAGATTACAACAGGAAAAACTAGGAAGTAAGAATGTCTCTTTGAATCTCTTTGCAAGGTTGATTGACTGATAGAGGAGCGACCCTTGATTTTTTTAAAAAACCGCAAGTGATCCTCAGAATTCCCCAGATATTGGATTTGTAAAAAAAAGAGTGTACTCAAAATCCAGCTGGGCTTAGATTGGATAATCGTTTCTTCATTTTGCATTGCCACTAATTTTTGACCTTAAATCCCACACGTTTTGACAAACCCTCATGCTGTTTGTCTTACATCCGATTGATATCGACTATACAGTGAGAATGAACCCATTATATGAGCATAGAAGTATACATAAATTTGACATAAACTTGACATGAACATTATTGCTGATGACCCTATGGATATTAATTAATATGTCTATTGTCTATACACGCATCATGTTCCCCTTTTTTAGCCTTTGGACGGCCTTCCAGCATCTCCCAGCATCGCAAGGTCATCCATCAGGAACGCATTGTGCACTCAGTGGGAGCCCGAGCCGTGGTGGTTTCAAGTGACCCTAGCGGCACAGTTCGATGTGGAAAAATTACCCTCTGGTAAGCTAACATAGCTATTGAAAATGGCCATTTATAGTGGATTTTCCATTAAAAATGGTGATTTTCCATAGCTATGTTAGTTTACCAGAGGGTAACCATGAATGTAGATCATTGTCCAAGAAACTGGAGATGTTCCATTGGTCCATCGATGTTGGGAAATGCCAAATGGGCATAGCCATTTTGAACCACAGAGATGGGATGGATGTTTCCAAGCTGCAAAATTTGGAAGATGTTCACCTGCTGGGATGAGTTTACTGGCTATTTCACAGATTACCATCTGGTTATTTAACATAGCTATTGAAAATGATCATTTATAGTTGGTTTTCCCATTAAAAATGGTGATTTACCATAGCTATGTTAAATTTCCCCATGAATTTCCAGATGTCCCAGTCGGTCAGCTTGGGCTTCCCAGTCGATCATTTCTCTTTCAGAAAGGGACGCTCTCAGTCCCCACGTTTACACATGTCTGGATGGATGAGGTAAAGATAAATATAAAGAAAAAAAATCAGTAAAACAATGCTACATATATGGAATTTGTACAAATGAATATATCATGTTACAAAAAAAAATGATTGAAGGACACCTGGCCATAACCTAATTTCCAAATCTCACAGGAAAGAAGGAGCCACACAGAAAACAAACGAAAAAAAAAAAATTGGGCTGACCCCCCCCCCTCCCCTAGATGGGCTATCTTGGCTATCTTGGTGGCTCTAGGTGGCTCTCTGGGCCATCTTGTCTGCTACAGCCTCATATGGTATTCTTATGGGACTTCCACTGGGTTCTTATGGGATTTCTATGGTATGTCTATGATATTTCTATGGAATTCCTATGAGATGTCTGAGGGAAATCTATGGTATTCTTATGGGATTTCTTTGTGGTTCCTATGCTATTTCCATGTTATATCTATGATATTTCTATGGGGATTTCTGTGGGATTTTCCATGATATGTCTATGATATTTCTATGGGGTTCCTATGGGATTTAAACAGGATTTCTATGGTACTTCTATGATATGTTCAGAGGATTTCTTTGGGAATTCTATGGGATTTCCATGAGGTGTCTTGAGAATGTCTATGGTAGTTCTATGGTATTTTCTATGGGACTTCTATTGGATTCCTGTGGGGTTCCATGGTAGTTCTATGATATTTCTTTGGGACTACTATTGGATTTCTATGGGATGCCGATTGTATTTCTATGGGATTCCTATGGGGATTCAAAAGGATGTCTGTGGGATTTACATTGGAATCCTATGGGATTTCCATGATGTTTCTATGATATTTCTAGGGGATTTCTATGGGATTTCTGAAGGGATGCTATGAGAATTCTATGGTATTCTCATGGGAGTCCCATTGGATTACTATGGGGGTTCTAAGGTGTCTTTGTGATGTTTCTATGGGATTTCTTTGGGATTACTATGGGGTTCCTATGGCATTCCTATGGGAGTTCCATGATGTTTCTATACTTCTATGGGATTACTATGGGATTCCTGAGGGAATTCTATGGGATTCTTTAGGGAATTCTATGGGATTCTTTTAGGATTTCTTTGTGGGATTCCTGTGCTATTCCATGTTAATTCTATGATCTTTATATGGGATTTCTGTGAGATTCCTAAAGGATTTCTATGATATTTCCATGGGATTACTATGGGGTGCCAATTGAAAGGAAGTTGAAACCATTTCAAAATAAATTCAAACTAAAGTGAAAAAACAACATCCAAACATTTTTTTCAAGGGGTAGTCCATGAGCAAGAGATGAATCAAGACCAAAGGTTTCCCAAAAAAGATGAACTTCAGCCAACCAACAAAATCCATGAATGACAATGATCTTCAATAGTATGTTTGTTGTGGTGGTCCTCTATTGTGTCCAGCTTTTTTTTTGGCAGTAAACATTTTCCAAAATCATGTTCTCCTTCCCTTTTCCTTTGCTAATACGTTTCTCTTTTTTACTTTCTTAGCTCATTCTTTTGGAATTCTCAAAATGTCTAAATGAAAAGTTTTTTCCTAAGGGTGAGCTTCAGCCAGCCAAGGGATTTCCATGGGATGTCTGTGAAATTTATTTTGGATTTCTTTGATATTTCTATGGTATGCCTATTGGATTTCTATGGTATTCCTATGGAATTTCCATGATGTTTCTATGATATTTCTGGAGCATTTCTATGGGATTTCTGAAGGAATACTATGGAAATTCTATGGTATTCTTATGGGACTTCCAATGGATTCCTATGGGATTTCTATGGTGTTTCTATGATGTTTCTATGATATCTCTATGGAATTTCTATGGGATGCCTGAGGGAAATCTATGGTATTCTTATGGGATTTCTTTGTGGTTCCTATGCTATTTCCATGTTATATCTATGATATTTCTATGGGGATTTCTGTGGGATTTTCCATGATATGTCTATGATATTTCTATGGGGTTCCTATGGGATTTAAACAGGATTTCTATGGTACTTCTATGATATGTTCAGAGGATTTCTTTGGGAATTCTATCGGATTTCCATGAGGTGTCTTGAGAATGTCTATGGTAGTTCTATGATATTTCTATGGGACTTCTATTTGGTTCCTGTGGGATTCCATTGGTATTGTTTAATATGATGTTTCTTTGAGACTAGGACTAGAAACTTAATCAGTGATAAATAACTAGAAAAAAATAGTAAAAAGCAGCTAAAAATCACGTAAAAACTGGGGACCCACAGCGTCCCACACTCTTCTCTTTAAGGGACGGCCATCTGTGGAACGAAGGAATGAAGCAATGTGGTGCCCCAGTGAGGTAAATCGCATTCAGTTGGAGTTCACATCACTCCAATTTCCCGGGAGGGTTTATGGTAGATATACCGAACTACTTTTCATGGGGGTTATAAACCAACGTTCACATCACTGGGTCATCACCTTGGTAGCCATTTGAGCTTCGGTAGCGTATTCACGTCTTTCCTTACTACCGCGACGCTCGGGAAAAGTTTCGAGCAACCCATCTGGATGGCGCCAGCAACAGAGACGACGCCACTCAGTGGCTGCGAGGACCTAGCGAGCATCAGCGACAGGGCTGTTCGACATGGCTTCATCCAAAAGGCAGGGTGTTGATCGAACGGATCCTTTGTGAAAACCCGGTAAATAGGGAAATATAGCCCAAACATGCCCAAACAAATGCATTTGTTGCACGGTGTCCAGGATTGCCACTGGCCATTTTATAATTAGTCAAGCTACATGTGTTCGACATATCGGTGAGTCTATCAGGTTTTGGGCATTTTGGGAGTGCAGTTGCTCACCACCTGCGTGGTTGCGGGACTCATCACCATCTTTGGTGAAAAATTGGTGGTTCAGAATCCGAGTTTCTTGATGGATTATTAGCCAATATTAGCCATACGCTTTGACCGACTGTTTGATAGTTTTGGGGCTAGATATGGATTTTTCACCCAACCGTACTACTTTTTTTAAAGCAGGAGATCAACAAGCCACCAAGGTTTGGTAGTGGTGTTGATGGCCATGTCGGCTGTGACGCTGTTGAGTGTTCACTGCGTCTTCATGTGCTTTCGGGAGACCATGAGGAAAAGTCCGCAGAACTATGTCTTGCTGGCACTCTTCACGTTGGCAAAGGGCGTCTTCTGATTGGTGGTTTCACATATTTTTCTGTTGGAACATGGTGGTATAACCCAATTTATTGACTTTCTTCAAAGGCCAATGATGATAAAGCATCAAATTTGGGCATTGGGGACACCCGATTTTAAGACAAACACCCAACTATATCTATATCATTCTATATCTATATATATATTCTATATATCTTAGAAATGAGATGATTATCCCACTTGATTATGATAGCAGAATATGGATGGTTATCTCCCACTTAACTTCCATTAAGAACCTATCCGCACAGGGAAAATCACCATTACTTGTTGCTTGTTTAAGCCCCAGTTTTGTTGGTCAATAACTCCCAGTGTGTGGATTGCCTGAAACCAGCAGGTTTTGCTGGGCTTCATCTGTCTGCAGTACACCATCCAATCTGTGTTGGTGCTGGTGCTGATAACAGGGATTGTCACGTTGGGATTGATGCTTTTCGCTTTCCAGAGCACATATGATACTCGGACGTTGATGTTTATAGTAAGCTCAAACATGATTAGAGCTACAATGGCCACAAAGGCAAGGTTCATTTATTTTCAGTTGGATTTTACTTTTCTACTGGTATCTTTTTTGAAGTTGCTAATAGCTGCCATGGTCGATTTTTAAGACTCTCATTCAATGAGCCACTACTTCCACAGGTTTGCTGGTTCAATAAAACTTAGACAATATATATATATATGTGTGTGTGTATAAAATATAGAGCAATATATTCAATATAGAACATTACATACAATTTAAGTGTACAGTATATATTATATATATGATATGCACGGTTAAAAAAATATTTTCATGCAATGTCCAATGCATCATACGTAGTGTTTGAACTGATAATATATAACGTGTGATGTGTATGTAAGATGTGATATTTACACAATATAGCAATCCATAGTTTATCATTATAGTATATATATATATATATTAAATATGTATATATATATATATTAAATATGTATGTATGTATATATATATATATGTAATGTAATGTAATGTAGTGTAGTGTAGTGTAGTGTAATGTAATGTAAAGTATGTATACATATACATATATATATATAGAGATATATAAATACATGTTGTATGTGCATATATATATATATATGTATGTATGTATATATATAGGGCAAGCGCCGTGATGCTGCCGACCCCGTTTTAAGGGGGAGGCCTGCACAGACACGACGGACACCCTACGTGATATATATGTATATATATATATATATACACATACCAGGAGCCAATGAAACCATGAGTATAGGGGTTGCAAGATTGTGAAAATGTTGGTTACGACCAAAGGTGTGTCCAAAACACTGTTTTTGACCATGGCATTGCGAATCAAGCATCGACATATCCGGGGTTTCGGATTGGCAGAACGAAAAAGTGCAATGGCCTGCAGGTCCAACGGCAGGTTTTGAAACCTCGAACGGACTCGCGGAAGCTTGTGGAAGCTTAGGATTGGGCCCCGAAAATCCTTTGTCTGCGCCTCAGACCAAAGGCCCCACTTGTATCTGCAAAAACATGCAGTTGTGACGCTGTTGATCTGTTTCTCTTCATGTATCTAGAACCGGTCATCCAGGCAATGACCTGCATCGGGGAAAAATTATTTGCGGGGCGGTGGGAGGACGTCGCCTTGGAGGAGGTGCACCTATATGCACACTTGGACCTGTGCACCTGAATCGCTTGCCTCCCGGCAGGGACTCCAGGCACAGCTGTTTGCTTTGTCAGCAAGGCATTGAAAGTAGGGTGACTGCTAATATCTTCCTGACAGGACTATGTCCTCCAGAACGACGCCCTGCTCCACGAGTTGCAGTGGAGGCCCTTCAGTTTAGACATTCCATCGTGTTGTGCGATAAGAAATGCAGGTATTGCTTGCCTCCTGTCAGGTGCCTTTGACTCCCCCCACTTGCGCCGATTTCAAGACTTTGAAAAGGAGTTCGGCAAGAAGAAGGCGACGGTCTGACAACACGTTTCAAGAGTCATTCGTCGTGCTGGTTGTGCAGGCACCGCACCATCGCGATAAAATTTTCTTTGTCGACGACAACGTCCGTCCGCATGCATATGCATCACCCATGCACACACTGCACAGAGCCCCCTCCGTCATCATCGCTGTCGCTTAGGGACTCACCACGTGTGAGACGAGCTGGCGCAACAAGATCGCGAAGGAGCGTGCGAAGGCAAGACTTCAGAATTCAGTTTGCTCTCGTGTTGTTGCACCCCTCAATGTTTGAGGCGGCAATTTGCACGGCACCGCCATTTTATGTAATATAGCCATGTTTAATATAGCAACATAGAATACGATATATACGAAAATATATGCCAGCTTCATTTAGTATGATATAATGTGACATGAAATGATGTGATATACAACGTGATATGATATAGTAAAACGTAATGTAATATTCTTGAACATACGGTAATATGTTAAATATATTACTATATGATATTGCATATACTGTAATGCAGTACAAGATAATATTGTTAAAACAAGTATAATATATAACATAATACAATATGATATAGCATGATATGCAACAACATTAAATGCAATATGATACTTGCACTTATTCTTAATGCACCTAATAGTTGACCGTGCAAACTCAGGATTTCACGGGTTTCCTGCCCTACATGTTCGCTTGTTGCCTGGCTCTGGTGCTGATGGGTTTGTGCTTAGCCATCTCAGCACGTCTTGGAGCTGCAAGCACTGGAGCCTTCAAGACGCTGAACATCGTCTATGCCTCGATGGGTGCCCAAGTCATGAGAAAACCAAGTTTCAAAACATGCTGATGTTTCATAGGAAAACTCATGGTTTAGGGGTAAACAACCAGTTGTAAATGGGGTGAAGGAACTAACCCAAAACATAGGATACAAACTTAGGTACCGGTTTGTTTTTGCAACTGAACAAGGGGATTGAAACACCAAGGTGTTTAGCATCCCATGAAATGAGGGGATGAAACCGAAAACCGTTCGGAGGGTCAAAACCAGGTGCTCTTTTCTGCTCCTTTGGCATTATCCTTCATACCCAGATGATTTTGGGCGACAAGAGCAACAAGTACAGACACTTGAATCTGTTTTTTTTTTTGCGATTTCCTGCGTGGCAAATCAGAAACGCATAAATGGGGCATCTATGGGGCAGATGTTTCTATTGTTACTTTTCAGGATGGACCATTTAACTTCAGCAAATCCAGGCGAAACCTAGTTGATGTGGATTTGTCCAAATGGCAATTTTAGTGTGGAACATGATGGTAAACCACTGAATTTTGGGGTGCCTTATTTTCAGATAAACCCATGTCCTGTTCTTGTTGGTTGATTGATGAAAAAAGTATACCTCTCGGTTTTCACAACCAATTGACAAGTGGTAGCAAATGGTACCGGTAACAGACCTTTTTTTTTGTCAATACCATTCTGGGTAACATCATAGGTTTAAGCATGTTTAAGCAACATCCTTCAACATTCAGGGGGTCCCGCGCCGATGCAACTAGGTACTTCACCCTATTTAGCAGGTATTCAACTCACTAAAACCCTGGTAGAGGCTATGGTTGCGACCCCGTTTTGCAACTGAACATTGGTCCTTTTACCACTTGTTGATTGATGAACATAGAGGGACTACGTCACATTCTCACATCTATTTTAAGTAAACCCAAATTATGTAAATCATTATAATCCCTAGAAAATATGGGTATTCTACTGGCCCCAAGCCTCCTTCACTTCGGCTGTGTCACAAACCCTTGGCGTTGGTTATACTACCCTTTATATCAATTGGGGATTATCCGAATTGGCTGAGAATTCCGAGAATTCCCACATTTAATTTACGCTCTCCTTTTCTTTTGGGGATGGTGAAAATGATGAACATCACCATCACATTCGGAGTTCTCCCCACCAAATTTTCAGACAAACCCACATTTTTCGGCATATACCATCCCATTATATATCATTATATCATATGATATCTCCATAGAATGGTATGAGCAACAGCCATTGGTGATATTGGTGACCGCGTTGAAACCCAGGATATCGCCTGGACGACTATTGTATGGCCGCCATCGCCCTGTATGCCGACATGGTCCACCTCTTCCAATTCCTCTTGCGGCTCTTGGGTCAGCGGAAATAAGGTCGCCGAGTCCTTTCAGAAATGGATACGGCTCGATCTTTCGCGCGTCGCAAAAGGAATCACTTTGGAATGAGGCAAAAACAAATGGTGATTCAATGGTGATCATCCCTTTTGGATGAGATGCATCTTTGATATCATGTGTGCATGTATGTGCCATATGTGTAAATATACATATTTATCCAGCAAATTTGTGGTCCCTTTTCTGCGTCACCTTTTGAGCTGTATCTTAATCGGTGTGGAGAGGAGATTCCCAGCCGTTTCATGGTTAATCGAGCCTCAATCCTTTCCTGAATGTCTTTTTGGCTATTCGCATCCTCATGTTTCGTCCAAAAGCACTGCTCTGTTTTGATGAACGAAAACAAATTCAGCAGATGGACCTTTGTGCGATGTCAGAGATGTTTTGACCCACGGCCAACGACCCAACCATTCCTTTCATGTCCGCAGCCAAGCATCTAGCCACGCAAAAAGCTCAGCTGCACTCGACATCTCTGCGCTCTAGACATGGCCCGTCTGACCGCTGTCTGCGTTTTGGCTGCTGCACCTTGATGGAAGTTGATGTTTTGGGTGTTGTGAACCGATGAACCTGAACCATTTCAAAACCAATTTTTCGTAGTTAATCACCAGGTTTCATGGGGATCACGGGGACTCTGGGAGGCTTGTGAACAAGCCAACTGTTAGGTGGTTTGGATGAGCGCTTTATCAATGTTTCGATTCTTATAAAGATGGTTTGCGGGTATTGGAGTTCATGTCCTTCTCTTTTGGTATTCTTTTGGTAGAATAGCTCGGGATGTATGAATTATGCACATTTGCAACTGTATCTGCATCGTTTTCTATATGTCCTATATATACATATTGCATGCAATACCGGGTTGAGATTCTTGCTGATAGACAATGAGTTTTGACAACGGCTCATTCATATGTATTTATATATATATAGATAGCGTAACCCCCAGCCATAGAAACGGTTCAATTTATCCAAATCCTTTTTCCTTTTCCGTTCAGGAGTCTAGGTTGGTTAATCATTTTTTTTTTCCAAATCCACAGACATCCAAAGATATCCAAAGATTCTGGAGTTACCCTCCAGTAAATGAACCTAGACCCTGGCATTCATCCGGGTTGGAAGATTAGTTTCCACAAAAAAAAATGTGACATTTTCAGTGTCAAACCTTTTCATTTACTGGAGGGTAATGGATTCTAGTAGATTCTAGTGTTGGTATCAACGTGTTACATAATGATGCATAATGTCTAAAAATAGCGGCCAAGGGTCACTTGCTGCGTATCCATTCTGTTCCATTTACGAAGTCTTGACTGGGATGATTGCCAATGGCAAAATGGGAATGTCTATTTTTAGTGGACTAACATAATGGTACACATCCATATATGTAGTAGATTCTAATGTTCATTTACACCATCATTAGTCACTATTAAAGTCACCATTCAATTTACATGACCACAACAACCGAGGCCTTGTGCCTTCTGCGAAGCCTTGCCTTTGTCCCTGCGCCTCGCAACGCAGCCCCATCTGTGGAAGTGGCTGCCGGTGCTGCGCTGATGGCAACGGCACCAATGGGAGCTGATGCCTTTGTCTTCAAGGGTACCTTGGAGTCCCCGTCAATCCTATGTACTGTACATATATCTATCTACCTAGCTATCTAGCTATCTAGCTATCGAGCTATCTAGCAATACATCTATCTAGCTATCTAGCTATCTAGCTATCTAGCTATCGAGCTATCTCGCAATACATCTATCTAGCTATCTAGCTACCTAGCTATCTAGCTATCGAGCTATCTAGCAATACATCTATCTAGCTATCTAGCTACCTAGCTATCTAGCTATCGAGCTATCTAGCAATACATCTATCTAGCTATCTAGCTACCTAGCTATCTAGCTATCGAGCTATCTAGCAATACATCTATCTAGCTATCTAGCTACCTAGCTATCTAGCTATCGAGCTATCTAGCAATACATCTATCTAGCTATCTAGCTACCTAGCTATCTAGCTATCGAGCTATCGAGCTATCGAGCTATCTAGCTATCTAGCTATCTAGCTTCTAGCTATCTAGCCATCTAGCTATCTAGCTATCTAGCTATCTTGCTTTCTATCAATCTAGCTATCTAGCTATCTAGCTATCGAGCTACCTAGCAATATATCTATCTAGCTATCTAGCTACCTAGCAATCTAGCTATCGAGCAATCTAGCTATCTAGCTTTCGAGCTATCTGGCTATCTAGCTATCGAGCTATCTAGTTATCTAGCAATCTATCTAGCTATCTAGCTATCGAGCTATCTAGCTTTCGAGCTATCTACCTATCTAGCTATCGAGCTATCTAGCTACCAAGCTATCTAGCTATCTAGCTACCTAGCTATCTAGATATCTAGCTATCGAGCTATCTAGCAGTATATCTATCTAGCTATCTAGCTACCTAGCTATCTAGCTATCGAGCTATCTAGCTATCTAGCTTTCGAGCGATCTAGCTATCTAGCTATCTAGCTATCTTGCTTTCTATCAATCTAGCTATCTAGCTATCAAGCTATCTAGCTATCGAGCTATCGAGCTATCTAGCTATCTAGCTATCTAGCGTTCTAGCTATCTAGCAATCCAGCTATCCATCTCGCTATCTAGCTATCTAGCTATCGAGCTATCCAGCTATCTAGCAATACATCTATCTAGCTATCTAGCTACCTAGCTATCCAGGTATCTAGCTATCGAGCTATCTAGCAATATATCTATCTTGCTATCTTGCTATCTAGCTACCTAGCTATCTAGCTATCGAGCTATCGAGCTATCGAGCTATCTAGCTATCTAGCTATCTAGCGTTCTAGCTATCTAGCCATCTAGCTATCTAGCTATCTAGCTATCTTGCTTTCTATCAATCTAGCTATCTAGCTATCGAGCTACCTAGCAATATATCTATCTAGCTATCTAGCTACCTAGCAATCTAGCTATCGAGCAATCTAGCTATCTAGCTTTCGAGCTATCTGGCTATCTAGCTATCGAGCTATCTAGTTATCTAGCAATCTATCTAGCTATCTAGTTATCTAGCAATCTATCTAGCTATCTAGCTATCTATCTAGCTATCTAGCTATCTATCTATCGAGCTATCTTGCTATCGAGCTATCTAGCAATCTATCTAGCTACCTAGCTATCTAGCTACCTAGCTATCTAGCTATCTATTTTTCTATCTCTTCTTTTTTTAAATCTAGCTATCTAGCTATCTAGCTATCTAGCTATCGATCTAGCTATCTAGCTATCTATCTTTTTATCTTTCTAGCTATCTAGCTATCTAGCTTTCTATCTATCTTTCTTTCTTTCTATCTTGCTCGCTATCTATCTTTCTATCTATCTATTTATCTAGCTTCGATCTATGTATCGATCGATCGATCTATCTATCTATCTAATCTAATCTAATCTAATCTAATCTAATCTAATCTATCTATCTATCTATCTTTCTTATAGCATCTTCTAGCTATCTAGCTATCTAGTTATCTAGCATCTAGCTATCTATCTATCCACCTAGCTATTTATCTACCTACCTAGCTTTCTAGATATCTATCTATCTATCTAGCTATCTAGCTATCCAGCTATCTAGCTATCCATCTAAATATCTATCTATCTATTTATCTATCCTATCTATCCTATCTATCCTATCTATCCATCCTATCTATCCTATCTATCCTATCTATCCTATCTATCTATCTATCTATCTATCTATCTATAGATCTATCTATCTATCTAGCTTTCAATCTTTCTATCTATCTATCGAGCTATGTAGCTTTCTAGCTTTCTAGCTATCTATCTATCTATCCATCGATGTATCTAGCTATATAGCTATCTGGCTATCTAGCTTTCTAGCTATCTCGCTATCTATCGATCTATTTTTATCTAGCTTTCTAGTTTTTTAGCTTTCTAGCTATCTAGCTATCTAGCTATCCAGCTATCTAGCTACCTAGCGATCAAGCTATCTAGCTATCTAGCTATCCATCTATTTATCTCTCTCTCTCTCTCTCTCTCCCCCTGTCTATCTATCTATCTATCCATCTATCTATTTATCTACCTATCTAGCTATCTATCTCCCAAACTATCTAACTATCTATCTATCTAGCTATCTAGCTATCTAGCTATCTAGCTATCTAGCTATTTAGCTATCTGACTATCTAACTATCTAGCTATCTAGGTATCTAGGTATCTATTCATCTATCTATCCATCCTTCCACCTAACCATCTATCTTTCTATCTTTCTGTCTATCTATCTTCCTATCTACCTACCTATCTACCTCCCTATCTACCTATCTATCAATCTATCGATCTATCGCTCTATCTACCTATATATCTACCTATCTACCTATGTACCTATTTAAGATCTATCTATCAACCTACCTACCGATATCTCTTTTTATCTATCTATCTATCTATCTATCTGTCTGTCTATCTATCTCTCTATCTATCTATCTAGCTATCTATCTATCTATCTATCTATCTATCTATTTATCCATCCATCTATCTATCTATCTACCTATCTATCTATCTTTCTATCTATCTATCTATCTCTGTCTATCTATCTATCTATCCTATCCTATCCTACCCTATCCTATCCTATGCTATGCTATCCTATCCTATCCTATATTATGCTATGCTATCCTATCCTATTCTATCTATCTATCTATCTATCTATCTATCTATCTATCTATCCATCTATATATCTATCTATCTATCGATCTATCTATTTATTTATCTATCCTATCTATCCTATCTATCCTATCTATCCATCCTATCTATCCTATCTATCCTATCTATCCTATCTATCCTATCTATCCTATCTATCCTATCTATCCTATCTTTCCTATCTTTCCTATCTTTCCTATCTATCCTATCTATCCATCCTATCTATCCTATCTATCCTATCTATCCTATCTATCCTATCTATCCTATCTATCCTATCTATCTTATCTATCTTATCTATCGTATCTAGCTTATCTAGCTTATCTATCTTATCTATCTT